GATGTGCCTCATGAAAAATAGACTAAAAAATTTAGTAAAAACATTTGCGATAATACAGTTGATAAATGTGCAACAAGTAGCTAAGCCATTGAGACAGGAGGGGTATGAGTGATATTTGATTGAATTTTAAATACCACTTATTAAAAATCTGATTAAAAGTATAGAAGTTAAAAGTGTATATAAACTATATACACATGCTTCAGATTGGAAACACGATAAATATGAGGACAAAGTGTAACATTAAGTCGAGGTATAGGAAGCAGCTGCGGTGTGGGGAAGGATTTTCTGAGGATCAGCAGCACCTCTTGGGCTGGTAGAACCTCAAAGAATGACTTTGCAATGTGCAGATTTTGTGGGTTCGAGTGGCTGTAAATATAGCTCAGGTCATAAGGTGTGTGTCTAATTAGAAGCAACAGCAAAGGTCAAATTGCAGTCGAGGTCAGTTTTACTTAATTGAGTTGAGTAACCCAGGCAGTCTGCAGACATATGGTAGCGGTTGAATACAGTAGGTTGGTGCCATAGATTAGTTTAGTGGATGTTATATTTGACTCTGCATTGAAGGGAGCAGAAAAAAAAAGGTAGGAAAATATTGATGGGTGCATTTTATGAATGGTTGAGTATGGCAGGAAAAGTTTGGACAAACTATGAGAAAGAAACTATCTTCTGGCATTAAAAAAACAAAACAAAAAAACAGACAAAAACCCCCACTGTTGTGTAGAGCTAGAAGTCATCTGGGCAGGACAGTTCGTCATAGAAGAGGAAAATGACACGATTCCAGTTGACGAGGGGTGTTGACAGAGTCGTATCTACTTTAGATAAGCTGTCAAAGACAATTGTGTCTGGAACTGAGGATTTAGATGATGTGAGTGAGAGCAAGTAAGAAATGAAACAATCACCTTGTGGAGTGATGCAGAAGGCAAGATTCTGGGTGGTTACTTTATGGTCTATGTAGTGGTAACTCGGCACCAACTAAAGGTGGTTGCTATGTGGACTAAGGGAATGGTGAGAGACTGTCAGCCTGATGCATGTCAGGAAAGTTTCCAATTGCTGAAATAATTGAATAGAGGAAAGGTGGACTAGTATCCCAGTGCCAGTGCTGCAAATTAGAGCAATAGGATTGTAGAAGTTAAAGAAGCAGGTTAGTGAAACTGGCATTCTGGTGCCAGAAATGTGTGAATAAGATTGTTGGCGTGAAGGACGTGAGGGGATAGAGGAATGTGATGGTTTGTGTGGGTGGTATGGGTGATGAGTATGGGTGGCTCCCAGGCCAGTGGACCCCCTTAGGTAAAGGAAATGACAGGAGAAGGAGGTCGAAATAAAGGGAGTGTGGGTAGAGCACAAGAAGCGAAAATGAGTAAGTGGAAAGGGCAAAGTGGTATGTATAGTTGTACAACAGGAAGGGGAGTGGTTGAGGTGTGGTCCTGGTCCTGAACCTCAGCTAAAGATTTTCGCTCCATTAGAAACTTTTGTGAGATTCTGGTAGTGTGCTTTAAATTACCATCATGCTGGAATGTTAATCTTCTGCCAAGCTTCTGCAGACTGGGAGTCATCTTGTCACCCAGTATTTTGGCACATCCACAGGCTTTCATGATGTCATCTATTCATTTCATCCTTCCAACACTTTTTGCATTCATGCAGTCCCATATCATCACACTCCCATCTCCCTGTTTCACTTCCAAGGTTGGGCATTCACTGTGGTAGTCTCAGTTAGGTTCAGGGCAAACATGGAGGACAGCATCTAAGTTGAACAAGTCTCATCTGACCAAAGAATGTGCTCTCAGTATTCATCAGACATACACTGCTCAAAAAAATAAACTACACATGTAACTCCAAGTCAATCACATTTCTGTGAAATCAACCTGTCCAGTGAAGAAGCAACACTGATTGTGAATCAGTTTGCAGTCTTCACGGATGAGAGCAGGTTCACACTGAGCACATGTGACAGATGTGACAGAGTCTGGAGACGCCGTGGAGAACATTCTGCTGCCTGCAGCATCCTCCAGCATGACTGGTTTGGTGGTGGGTCTGTAATGATGTGGGGAGGCATTTCTTTGGAGGGCCGTCCAGCCCTCCATGGGCTAGCCAGAGGTACCCTGACTGCCATTAGGTACCGAGATGAGATCCTCAGACCCACTGTGAGACCATGTGCTGGTGCAGTGGGCCCTGGGTTCCTTCTGATGCATGACAATGCTCGGCCTCATGTGGCTAAAGTGTGTCAGCAGTTCCTGATGATGAAGGCATTGATGCTATGG